CGCGGACAGCGGCGGCGGGCGGAGCGGGGCACGGCGCGCCAGGGCGCCGCCGAGGAGATGCGGTTGCCCGCCCGGGCCGGGGTGTAGAGAGGGCGGGTCCCCGGCCTCGGGAGCGCGGCGCTGGGAAGACAGAGGCGGCGGCCATGGCGACCCCCGGCAACCTGGGGTCCTCTGTCCTGGCGAGCAAGACCAAGACCAAGAAGAAGCACTTCGTAGCGCAGAAAGTGAAGCTCTTCCGGGCCAGTGACCCGCTGCTGAGCGTCCTGATGTGGGGGGTCAACCACTCGGTAAGCCCGGGCTGCGGCGCGCGGTCCCCTTCGTCCTCCTCTCTGCTCCTCTCGGCTTCGCGTGCAGCTGTAGCGGGGCGGGTGCCCAGCTGGCTGGGTCCGCGGGTCCCGGCCCTCGGGGTACTTGCCCGCCCGCACCGGTGTCCGTGGCCCCCACGACGTGCTCCAGCGCCTGCGGGCCGCCCATCGCCTCTCGCGCCTCCTTCGGACCGCGGGCGGGGCGCGGGATGTGGGGTCCGCTCCGCATCCGAGCCCTGCGCGCTGAGCCTTGCGCCCTGCGCCCTGCGCCTTGAGCCCTGCGTCCTGGAGTGCCTTCCCCGGCCGCACGCCCGCGGGTCGGTCCCCGCAGTGCAGAAAGTGGGAAGTTTGTGTAGGTTACTGTTCCGACTCGGCTGTCACCGCCGCCGAGTCTGGGCGCCGCAGCCAAGGTGAGGGGCTCTAGGGATTCGGACGCGCCAGGGGCTTCGGCCGCGGCCAGGTGAACCTGGCCCCACTGGGAGGAGCGTGAGGACTCCTGCGGCTGGAGGCTCTGGGGCTAAGCTCCTGAAGACCCAATAGGCTTGAGAGAGCAGCTTTAGCCCTTGAGTCCCTTTTCCTTTAAAGGCAGTATTATTGGACAGAAGGAGGGGGTTTGGCCGAGAAGCCTGTGCGAATGGCACTGGCATGGAGCATCCTCTCCGCCGTTCTCGCATCTAGCTGCCGCTGTGCCCGCAAACTGGCCCTTTTGGGGACCCGGTACCCCCCCACCTCCCAGCCGGGCAGAAATCGCCGCTGCGGAAGGAAAGCCGGCCCCAGGGTGACAGCGGGGCGGGGGTCTCAGGGTACGTGGGCTGGAGCGATGTTGCCCCCCCCCCCCGGTGTGTTTAAAAGGCCGGAATACAAAGGTTTGGAGAGGTTGGATTCACACCCGCGGAGGTGGTGGAGGACGCGCCGCTGCGGGCTATGCGGATTGCGGTTTGAGGATCCGAAGTAGCCTCCTGCTGATCTTACCGCGAGAAACTCCTGCAGCTTTAAGCTCCCTAGAGAGGATGGGGAAACCCGATAGGAACCTCTGGCTGAGCCATGAAAGTTTAAAGGAGCTTGTAAATTTTCCCCGTGACCTTACCCACTACAGTCAGCGTCTGATGAGCTGTGTGAGCCCACCTTCTGTGCGTGGGATTTCGAGACCTGTGTGTCCCTCTCCGGCATCTTGGAAATGAGAGGGTCCCCCCTCCCCCCGCCACGAGTAGATTAACAAAGTTTTTAAAAAGAATCAAACTCGTTGTCTTATATTTTTCCTTCCCAAGCTGAGCTGGGGAAAAGGACAAAATAGTGTCAGGATTGGTTGTGTTTGTACTGGAGTGACTTTTAAAAAGTTGAGACATGATTATTTTCTTTCAGTTTAATGCCGGATCTATTGAAGTTGCTGACGGCTTCCCCAAGTTTTATTACAGAAAATGAAGTGAAAATTTTCCTGTTGTACAATTTAGTTACAGCCTGTTTTGTTACGCATTTGTGTTGTGTTGTCAGTTGGGAGTCCCTTATTTATCAGAGTAGGACCTCACAATAAAACACAAGACATGCATAGGGTGGTGCTTACTTATGTTTATCTCCTTTGGAATTCTGGCGTTTTGCTCAGTGTTTGTGTCTCCGAGTTTAATTAGTAAAGTAACGTCAGTATGCTGCTAGAAAAAGGGGTGTGCTCTTTGGGAATTAGTTTGAATTCCACTTTACTTTTTGAAAGCTTGTAATTAGGAAGGTTTTACTGTAACTGTATATGTCACTGCCTTATGTTTAGGAATTGCTACATTTGTTTTGGAAATATTTTTAATTGGAAATATTTTGAAACTAACCAAGATTTATAATGTACACTTAGTGTTATTTTCTTTTGCTCTTAAGAAATGTTAGCATTGCTACGTATAGGCAGCCAGGGGAGTGACATTTCTGCAGTGTATAAGGTAAACATGTTATTCATTCAGCAAATACATATTGCACAGGTAACAGTGCCACGCACTGTGGTACAGGTTAAAGTGCCTCTTTATTTTTGTCCAAATATCTTTTTCTTTATGGCTCTGAGTTTATAAGAAAGGTTTGTTTCGCATCTTTAATTTCCAAGATGTCTGTTTTCTTTAATGAATTATTTTTGAAAAAAGAATGCTGATGTGTATAAAGATGAAGTCTTAAGGACTTGGATGCCATGTGTTTCTGGTTGATCTCACTTAGTTGACAAATGTCTGGTACCAGATAGATGTTTTATTATACCCTTCTGTGCGTCATACTTTATAGTATAATGTGAGAATAAATATGTTTGCAGTGTTAAGAATGAGCAAGCCTGCTGCTATGTATGAATGGGAACATTAGAGACAGTACAGCAGAGAACAGATAATTCAAGTCAGCCTCTGTGCTGTGTTTCTAATACATTTACAACTAATGAGAAAAAAAAACCATAAACATGACAATTTGTACTGTAAAAGTTTGGACTTTAGGGCCACGGGGATAACTCAGCAGTTTGGTGGTCTAAGGGCTTGCCTGACAAACTCAAGGACCTGGGTTCAATCCCCCATACTACATGCTGTGCTGGCCCCATGCCAAGCTGGCCACCAAAACAGGGCGTGGTGGCGCATGCCTGTAATGCCAGTGCCGGGGAGGCTGAGACAGGATCACTAAGAGTCTGAGCTACATAATGAGGGCCAGGGAGATAGCTTAGTAGAATAAGTGCTTTCATGGTAAGTGCAGGATCCTGAGTTCAATCCCCGGTATGGGGGAAGGGAGGGATATATGTATATATACACACATATATATGAGCTACATAACAAGATTGTGTATCAAATAAATGAATGACATTTAAAAATTTGGACTCTGATATGGATAGGATATTTAGAATTAACCATAAATTTGAAGCACTAAAGGAAAACTATAGGCATTCTGTGAGAGTACTAGGACTCTTCTGTATGTTTTGGTTAAAAGTTAATTAGATCTGTGCTCCAATTCTTTCTTCAGTTGTAACTATTTTTTTTTTTTTTTTCAGTTGTAACTGTTGACCTTGATCTGTTACCTGGTTACTGCATCAGTGTTTGTGTATGTGAGGTTGTTGGACTGGGTGACTTACAAGTTTTTTTTGATCTGTTAACTGGCTACTGCATCAGTGGTTGTGTATGTGAGGTTGTTGGACTGGGTGATTTACAAGTTTTTTTCCTAACTTCAACTTTTACAGCCTCCTGGGTGCATAAAGTGATATTAGGAACCATAAAATAGTAATAGTATATAACGAACGTTGCACTGCTATTATAACCTTTAAATGCTGCTCTATTGAGGGAATTTTCAAAGCCTTGTCTACAGGAGAAGAAAATTTGTGGTGATTTTTAGAGAGTGAAGTAAAAGGTTGCTGAATTGAGTGTAGTAGTGAAACTGCATTGCAGTCTATTAAGTCCGTCTATTTGATTGAAATGTAAAAACTTGCAATTAAGGTAAAAATGTTCAAGTCCATTGTAGCAGTAGTGGAAATCTTGATTTGGGCAATGCTCAGTGTCAAGAATAAGCCTGCTACTGTGTAGCTAATTTGATATGTTACTGCTTTCTAACTTAAAATCCCCATCAGTGAATGGATCAGTGCCAATTTTTATTTTAAGTATTTTAAGCAGAGACTATAATTGAATACATAAAGGAAAAGATGGCTTAAGAAAGGCAGTTTTATCTTGTTACATTTGAAAATAAGCTAAAAATGATCAGGTGGTTAGCTTCTTTAAATGATATTTTAATAGTGTATGGAGTATGTTGAATGATATGAGCCAAGATTTGTTTTAAATAGATATTATAAAAGACTTTTATGGCTGGGAGATAGCTCAGTAGATTAAGCACTTGCCTGGCAAGCACAATGGCCTGAGTTCAATCCCCGGTTCTGCAAAAAAAAAAAAGATATTTAGGCACTAAAATATAAGCCTTTCAGAAATTAGTATTTAAGGCCTCGTGTAAGTAAGTATACAAAGGAAGAAATTGATTGTATGGAGAAATGGTGAAGAACATGAAGCTTATTTAAACCAAACAGTACTTCCAAGTAGCCAACTTATTAATGAGAGTTTTTAGTTCAAACTTAGAAACACAAATGGGCTTCAGCATTATTTTAGATAATAGGAGTTTCAGGGTCTATCACAGTGGAAGGAAGGATGAATACCTAAACATATCATGAGAAGAGCCAAGTACTTGGGTGCTGTTGGGACTTTCCTGTTTTCACTTTATTCTTGCTCATAGCTGACTGGTTTTCTTCAAGAAGTAGGGAATTTAATGGTGTCTGAATTTCACATTTTGTTATTTCTGCTCCTCCAAAAGGACATTCTGTGTCTGATTCAGTTATAAAAATCTCAAGAAGGAATCTGATCAGTCTATCTTCAGTCAGTTGTAGCCCCCCCGAGGACCAAGCAGTTAAGGAAACGTGGCAGTGCCTGGTTGGTGGAGTTGAAGAAAGGGTCCTGGCAAGGACTGGACAAGCGCCTGCCTTGTGGTAGAGCTGGAGTTGATCTTAATGCCCGTGGGTCCTGCCTCTGGAGTCCTGTGTCCGTACAACAGCCAAGTGCCATGTTCTGTGTGGATGGGAGACTGAGTGCCCAGTTTCCTGGTAGGGCAGCCACATCTTGTTTTGTGTTTTCAGCAAGGTCAGAGAGACAATACTGTATTGAGAAACAGTAATTTCCTTTAGGTACATGAGTTTATACTTGGGCATTGAAAAAAAGGTAGAAGGAAACTAAATTTAAAAATGATGTAAATGGCTGAAATGATATTGACTGAGTAATGTAATGGAGCAATTAGATTAAAACAACAAGGAGCAAGATGTTAGATGAAGCGTGTCGAGTAGAGTCCAACCACCCATTCATTCAAGATTTCCTTATATTATTTTTTTTCTTCCTTTTGCTTTTCAGAGGAAGGAGGCATATCAAGAAAGAGACACATGCCAGGCATGGTGCTGCACACTTGCAGTGCCGCCGTTCAGGAGGCTGAGGCAGCAGGATCACTGCAAGGTTGAGGCC